TCAAATCAAGATCTGCTTTTATCAGTGGAGTCGTTAACGAACTAAAGTAAAAACAAACTGAGCTAACGTTAGCAGCAGCTCAGCTGTGAACACCGCAAGGCTAGCTGCACACCAGCTGCTAGCTAGGTTACTTCCAAACGGATTTGTTGTCGATTCTCTCTGACCAATCAGCAGTCTGTAGTGTTTTAATCTCACCTTTTGGTATTACCTCAGCTCGCTGGGAACCTCGACGGAGGTCATACCAAAAAACGTACCAGGCACCAGATTTGCCTACTGGAAAACCAAAAAAGGGGAGTAGAGTGGGTACCATCTAAAACCAGGAATCCTAACCGCTAGACCATATGGGACTCACGTGCTGAGCTGAGAACCTCGAAAGAGGTCATACCAAAAAAAGTCCCGGGTACCTGATTTGCCCAACAGAAAACCAGCAAAGGTGAGTCGAGCTGGTACCATCCAGTGGAAAAAGGGGGATTGGATCAGACTGATCTCTCGACAAATCTGGCTAAATGTCTATTTCTTGACTGGGAGTTGAACCGAGGCCGTCTGGGTCAAAACAAGAAATCCTACTGGGACTCGATGTGGAAGTGGTCGGCCATGGTTGTTTGAGATGTAGTGGACTCAGACAGAAACATTCAGGTGTCTGTTATCGCAAACACCAACGCTGAAAACGCAGCACACACATCTTTTCTTGAGGAGCACAAACACGGCGCACACTGATCTCTCTACTAATCCATGCTGGCTAAATGTCCATTCCCATACCGGGAGTTGAACCCGGGCCGCCTGGGTGAGAACCAGGAATCCTAACCGCTAGACCATATGGGACTCACACGACCCCGGTCCAGTCATTTACAGTCTACTAAGTGGAACAGGCCGGGCGTTAAAGATTCTGTCATGCACAACGCCCAAATGGGCTGAATTAAATTAAACTAGTCATAAAGACATGCTGAGGAAAATTTCAAATCAAGATCTGCTTTTATCAGTGGAGTCGTTAACGAACTAAAGTAAAAACAAACTGAGCTAACGTTAGCAGCAGCTCAGCTGTGAACACCGCAAGGCTAGCTGCACACCAGCTGCTAGCTAGGTTACTTCCAAACGGATTTGTTGTCGATTCTCTCTGACCAATCAGCAGTCTGTAGTGTTTTAATCTCACCTTTTGGTATTACCTCAGCTCGCTGGGAACCTCGACGGAGGTCATACCAAAAAACGTACCAGGCACCAGATTTGCCTACTGGAAAACCAAAAAAGGGGAGTAGAGTGGGTACCGTCTAATGGGGTATTGGATGAGACTGATCGCTTTGCAAGTCCATGCTGGCTAAATATCTTTTCCCATACCGGGAGTTGAACCCGGGCCACCTGGGTGAAAACCAGAAATCCTAACTGCTAGACCATATGGGACTCACGTGCTGAGCTGAGAACCTCGAAAGAGGTCATACCAAAAAAAGTCCCGGGTACCTGATTTGCCCAACAGAAAACCAGCAAAGGTGAGTCGAGCTGGTACCATCCAGTGGAAAAAGGGGATTGGATCAGACTGATCTCTCGACAAATCTGGCTAAATGTCTATTTCTTGACTGGGAATTGAACCGAGGCCGTCTGGGTCAAAACAAGAAATCCTACTGGGACTCGATGTGGAAGTGGTCGGCCATGGTTGTTTGAGATGAAGTGGACTCAGACAGAAACATTCAGGTGTCTGTTATTGCAAACACCAACGCTGAGAACGCAGCACACACACATCTTTTCTTGAGGAGCACAAACACGGTGCACACTGATCTCTCTACTAATCCATGCTGGCTAAATGTCCATTCCCATACCGGGAGTTGAACCCGGGCGCCTGGGTGAAAACCAGGAATCCTAACCGCTAGACCATATGGGACTCACACGACCCTGGTCCAGTCATTTACAGTCTACTAAGTGGAACAGGCCGGGCGTTAAAGATTCTGTCATGCACAACGCCCAAATGGGCTGAATTAAATTAAACTAGTCATAAAGACATGCTGAGGAAAATTTCAAATCAAGATCTGCTTTTATCAGTGGAGTCGTTAACGAACTAAAGTAAAAACAAACTGAGCTAACGTTAGCAGCAGCTCAGCTGTGAACACCGCAAGGCTAGCTGCACACCAGCTGCTAGCTAGGTTACTTCCAAACGGATTTGTTGTCGATTCTCTCTGACCAATCAGCAGTCTGTAGTGTTTTAATCTCACCTTTTGGTATTACCTCAGCTCGCTGGGAACCTCGACGGAGGTCATACCAAAAAACGTACCAGGCACCAGATTTGCCTACTGGAAAACCAAAAAAGGGGAGTAGAGTGGGTACCGTCTAATGGGGTATTGGATGAGACTGATCGCTTTGCAAGTCCATGCTGGCTAAATATCTTTTCCCATACCGGGAGTTGAACCCGGGCCACCTGGGTGAAAACCAGAAATCCTAACTGCTAGACCATATGGGACTCACGTGCTGAGCTGAGAACCTCGAAAGAGGTCATACCAAAAAAAGTCCCGGGTACCTGATTTGCCCAACAGAAAACCAGCAAAGGTGAGTCGAGCTGGTACCATCCAGTGGAAAAAGGGAGATTGGATCAGACTGATCTCTCGACAAATCTGGCTAAATGTCTATTTCTTGACTGGGAATTGAACCGAGGCCGTCTGGGTCAAAACAAGAAATCCTACTGGGACTCGATGTGGAAGTGGTCGGCCATGGTTGTTTGAGATGAAGTGGACTCAGACAGAAACATTCAGGTGTCTGTTATTGCAAACACCAACGCTGAGAACGCAGCACACACACATCTTTTCTTGAGGAGCACAAACACGGTGCACACTGATCTCTCTACTAATCCATGCTGGCTAAATGTCCATTCCCATACCGGGAGTTGAACCCGGGCCACCTGGGTGAAAACCAGGAATCCTAACCGCTAGACCATATGGGACTCACAGGACCCCGATCCAGTCATTTACAGTCTACTAAGTGGAACAGGCCGGGCGTTAAAGATTCTGTCATGCACAACGTCCAAATGGGCTGAATTAAATTAAACTAGTCATAAAGACATGCTGAGGAAAATTTCAAATCAAGATCTGCTTTTATCAGTGGAGTCGTTAACGAACTAAAGTAAAAACAAACTGAGCTAACGTTAGCAGCAGCTCAGCTGTGAACACCGCAAGGCTAGCTGCACACCAGCTGCTAGCTAGGTTACTTCCAAACGGATTTGTTGTCGATTCTCTCTGACCAATCAGCAGTCTGTAGTGTTTTAATCTCACCTTTTGGTATTACCTCAGCTCGCTGGGAACCTCGACGGAGGTCATACCAAAAAACGTACCAGGCACCAGATTTGCCTACTGGAAAACCAAAAAAGGGGAGTAGAGTGGGTACCATCTAAAACCAGGAATCCTAACCGCTAGACCATATGGGACTCACGTGCTGAGCTGAGAACCTCGAAAGAGGTCATACCAAAAAAAGTCCCGGGTACCTGATTTGCCCAACAGAAAACCAGCAAAGGTGAGTCGAGCTGGTACCATCCAGTGGAAAAAGGGGGATTGGATCAGACTGATCTCTCGACAAATCTGGCTAAATGTCTATTTCTTGACTGGGAGTTGAACCGAGGCCGTCTGGGTCAAAACAAGAAATCCTACTGGGACTCGATGTGGAAGTGGTCGGCCATGGTTGTTTGAGATGTAGTGGACTCAGACAGAAACATTCAGGTGTCTGTTATTGCAAACACCAACGCTGAGAACGCAGCACACACACATCTTTTCTTGAGGAGCACAAACACGGCGCACACTGATCTCTCTACTAATCCATGCTGGCTAAATGTCCATTCCCATACCGGGAGTTGAACCCGGGCCGCCTGGGTGAAAACCAGGAATCCTAACCGCTAGACCATATGGGACTCACACGACCCTGGTCCAGTCATTTACAGTCTACTAAGTGGAACAGGCCGGGCGTTAAAGATTCTGTCATGCACAACGCCCAAATGGGCTGAATTAAATTAAACTAGTCATAAAGACATGCTGAGGAAAATTTCAAATCAAGATCTGCTTTTATCAGTGGAGTCGTTAACGAACTAAAGTAAAAACAAACTGAGCTAACGTTAGCAACAGCTCAGCTGTGAACACCGCAAGGCTAGCTGCACACCAGCTGCTAGCTAGGTTACTTCCAAACGGATTTGTTGTCGATTCTCTCTGACCAATCAGCAGTCTGTAGTGTTTTAATCTCACCTTTTGGTATTACCTCAGCTCGCTGGGAACCTCGACGGAGGTCATACCAAAAAACGTACCAGGCACCAGATTCAACATTAGTGAACTCTGACACTCAGATTTGTGCCACTGACCAACTTCAAATCATTCTGACAGCGTTGACATTTGAGGAATCGGATAGCCAGAGCCTCCAGAATAGATTAAGCTATCATGTTGGACTTCACCTTTCCGTGGTTAGGGTTCATTGTATATAACTTACAAGTGCAGTGACTTGGACCGATCTCTCTACAAAGTCATGATTTCCATAAAAGGAGTGGAACATCCCAGAGCTAAAAGATTTCCTTAATGTGTGAAGCAGATGCACTACATTGTATTGGTATGAAACCTCTGGAATATTGGACCTTACAGGGGTTAGCTTGAAATCTTTAAATTAAAGTCAAATATTTAGAATTTCGAGGGGGGGGGTGCATTCTTTATTTGTTGTAGTTTTTGAAGGCAGCCCCTAAATATTACTGGTAATCCCTCTAAAGAAGGCTTTTAGATATTCATGGAAGCCAAAGACTTATTTTCTACTACGGGAACTTAACCCATAACACCGCTTTGGATACCGTGATGTCATCATTTTTATACGCCGTGTACAGCCTCTATATTAATAAACATTATTAATTGCTGTGTTTTCCCTGAGAGTAGAGGGACTTTGGATTTAATAGCACCTTGTGCTGAAATTTGCTGAAACAAAAGCAGAACCTGTGTTAAGTTATAGGTGATTATATTCCTGTGGTGGAAAAGGTCTAAAAATATACAGGTGAAACCAACCTTTAGGTTTCCTTTGGTAGTGAAAGCCCGTCCGCAGACAGCGCAGGCAAAGGGCCTTTCCCCGGTGTGAGTCCTCTCATGGATCTGCAGAGCACTGGAGGAGGAGAAGCTCTTCCCACAAGTCTTGCAGTGGTGGTATTTGGGCGTCCGGCGAGGTGGTGCTGCAGCACCTTCAGGCACCTCAGAAACGGAGAGGATCTCTGAAGGACCATAAAGATCCTTGCCACCCCTAAAAGAGGAGTTCAGTAAAGCGGTCATCTCTGAGTTTACATTGGACAACAGGGAGCCATCATGGTTAGGTGCTTCGTTAGGATAGGAGGGTTCAAAGAGATGTAGCGGGAAGTCCCTCATTTGATGTGTAAGCATGTGCTGCTTGAGATTCCCCTTAGTGGAAAAGCCCCTCTTGCATGTTGTGCAGATAAATGGTCTCTCCTTGGTATGGCTTCTGTAGTGGATATCCAAGGCACTTTGACAGGCAAAATTCTTCCCGCATATATCGCAGTAAGTGTTCTTTATAACCGCCTTTTCTCTGAGATTGGGAATCAGGCTCAGAGAATCCTCGGCATGGTTAAATACTGGTAGCTCAGTGGGTGATGTAGCAGATGCACAGAGCGTTAATGTGGTTGCGTTGAGCCTCGCCTGTAATGGTTTGTCCAGACTCACAGTTTTATTGTACATTGAATCTTGGCCACTAGCGGACAGAGACTGATTGAGAGCTGAACTGTCAGGCATGGGGAATGTGTTAGTCCACTGACCAGCAGATTGGATGTTTGTTTGACGACATTCCTCGTTTGATCCATCTGGCCGCTCCGTTTTGATCCATTTATGCTGCAGCTCCCCAAATGGCCCGTTGTAACTTGTCATCTTGTTAGCGTCAATTAAATGTTTACCAAACGGACAAGGGGACAAATGGATGGATAGGGATTTGAATCTAGACAGTTGGTTGACACAAATGCTTCCATTGTTGTCATTCAAAAAGTTCTTCCTATGATTCAATGTTGTGTTGTCGCCAAATCCTTCATTACAATCCACTGAGTATTTCTGATTCGTACAGTCTGCATTGGGTAAGTGACCTTCCATGTGCATGTGGTGTACGCACCTTACATGTTGCTGCAAGACGCCAACATTCATGAACTTCCTTTGGCAGATGGGGCACGAGTGCTGGACACTCAACGGGACTGTGGCCCGGTGAACAGTTTGGTGTGTCTTCAGGTTTCCTTTGGTAGTGAAAGCTCGGCCACACAGTTTACACGGGTATGGGCGCTCCCCTGTATGTGTCCGATAATGCATCCTCAGGGCACTCTGACAACTGAGTATGCGGTGGCAGATGACACACTCGTTTGGGTCTGACACTCTATTGGTGTCTGATGGCAGCCGGAGTGTGGGGTTGTCAGAGCGCTGTAATGAGAAGAATCCTGAAAATGAGGTAGAATTGGGATGGGGTATGACATCAGCGGATTCCTCTGACTTTGTGGTCATTGAGACAAAGTTAAAAGATGGTTTTACATCTTCACTTTTAAGACTCGTTCTTTGTTGCCTGGTCTCGACTGAGTCCGAGTCCTTTTTAGGGTTTTCTTTAAATCTAAAGGTCATGTTTGCTGCTGAATCAAAGGAAGGATCACGGTGAGCAAGGGGATTGTGTGCTAACATAAGGCCGTCCTCTTTCTTGATGAGAGATGACAGTCTGGTTGAGTCAAACTGTTCCAGGGAACCAGAGGTCATTGAAGATGAAGATGGTGACCTATCTAGCCATCTTGCTACTGCTTTCTCTGGTGACAAGGACATCCGAAAAGGAATCTCTGCATTGTCCAGGCACAGATAAGGGTTCATTTGGGCGTGTGGGTATCTCTCTTTGTGCCTCTGAAAATGAACCTTTAAGTTCCCCTGGGTGGAGAACCTGTTTCCACAGACGTTGCACTTGTAGGGCCTTTCACCGGTGTGTGATCGCAGATGAATTTGCAAAGCGCTGTCACTCCCAAACACTTTGCTGCAAAATCTGCATCTGCGTTTGAAGAGAGACTCTTCTGAAGACGCCGTGGGAGCATAAGGCTTCAGATTCTTGCATTTCCTCTGTTGGGCCAAGGCTGCCAGGGCATCCAGATCCTCCACAATCGCACTGATGTTTGGTATGGAATTTGACGCTGTGTGCTCGCTGTGAGATGAAGGTCGAAGTACGTGGGAGTTTTCAGAAGTCTGACCGATGAAGCCGTTATTGTTAAAAATCAAAGAGGACATCTTGGTTTTGGTCAAGAAATTCAGTTGGGAGTTAGAAGAACCACATTCCATGTGTTGTTTTTTGGAAACATGTCCACCAACTGCTGTTGTCATGAGCTTACTAAACGTTTGTGAGGCCTCTGAGCTTGACAGCCCATTTCTGCTGTCAGGTTGACTTTGATTTAGCTGCTCTGTGGCCGTAAAATGCTTGAAGTCACTTATGTTAGCAGACTGAGCTGATAAGCATCTGGCTATCCCGGCAGCTGCAGCGAGCTGCTGAGACAAATGAGTGCTGAGAGCCTTGAGCTGATTGGTGGATTCTGAAGAAGAGAAGTCCTTGGTGCAGATCCCCAGGGTCTCTGGTATCCCGGCTTGATGAGAAGCAAACAATAGAACCTGGTGATGGATCTGATCAATGAGCTGCAGCTGGTGGATTTGCTGTATTTGCAGGGTGAAGAGCTGTTGCAACACAGACCAGATGGCGGTCTTTCTGCGGCAGTCGTCTGAGTGCGCCAGCTGGGAATACTGAGCCATGGCCACTTTGGTGCTCTCAAGGTTTTTAATAATGATCTTCATCCACGAGTGTCCTTCTTGGGCAGCTGGGCAGCCAGGGTGAGGTAAGGATTGTGGGAGGACAGTGTCACATTCAGTACTGATGCCGTGCTTACTGCTGGTGCTTCCTTGGCTTTCTCTGAGCCCTGCTCCTTTGCTGGACCTGTCCTGCGATGCGGTGTTGCTGTTTTCCATCTCAGAGTTACTGAGTGTTTCACCCGGCCCCCCTGCTGGGCTGGCTGCTGGTGAGGCTGCAGGGAAGGTTTTGCTGCTGGACAGCAGCTCGTCATCCTCATTCAGAATCAGAACCAGAGGACTTGGAGAGCAATCCCTCTGGTGTTGTTCCAGGTCTGATAGCACGTTAAACTCAGCGCAGCATCGGCTGCAGACACGAGCACTGCCACGCACCGCAGGAGCAGATGCTGAGCTGAGACACGTCTCGTCTGAAACAGATAAAGGAAGGGGGAGATTATTACTGTGATCATGCCACTGCACTTCAGAAAAGCCTCTGTATCATACAACTAGATTAAGGAATAAAAGGATGAGTGACACCCTCTATTCAGTTTTTCAGAAATAAACTCTTGTCTTTTTAAAGTTTAAAGTAAATGAGCTGACTTGCAGCAAATAATTAGTCTGAAAGCCCTGAAATATCAGAACTCATTTCTCACCTGAGTGAACTCAAATTACCAAAAGGTTTAATTAAGAATTAATCTAAATACTTATAGAGCTAGCCTGCATACATACACATAAGAACTCAAATTTAAACATTGCAGGTTTAATTCAAGCTCAACTGAACAGAGTTTCCTCTTAATGAAACAGGTCAGAGATACAAGAGAAAAACAGCAAGACAAACGCTCTGCTCAGTCGGGTGTTATAGTACGCCTGTAAACTGTGATTATTATTATCACACTCCTGTATGATGGGAATATTGTAAAGATAAAACTTCTGTTAATAAACGTGTCCTTTTTCTAAGAATCACTTGAACAGAAACAAAGATTAAGAGTCTCTGGATTAAAATAACTCACCAGCGCGTCCGTTGAAAGATAAATCCTGGACCTGCTGTGGTTTGGGTTGTTTCCTCCGCGACATGTTTCCAACTCTGACACAGCTGCGTGAAAAGAGACAGAGGGAGAGAGAGAAAACAGAGGGAGGAGGGGGAGACCACAGAAAACACAGTACAGCATATTATTATCTATGTGCATGCTTCAGCTACCACATTAAAACCACTGGGTGCGATTCAATGTAGCACTCAGCTCATCACTGGTGACAGAACATTTGGATCATTGGATCTTACATCAGCGTGTGGGATGGACCGCTCTGAGCAACATGCTATTTTATTTATTCATGAAGCTTATGTTAAAACTACCTCTCTACATATCATCCCTGATTTCCACTGGAGGCATAAATACAAACACAAATGTTTGGAAAGCACTGTGATGGTGTGTGCAAGTGTTCGTTTTGATTTTGTATGTTTAAAGTCATTGTTATATTTTCACCTGTGTGTCTGCTGTATATTTTAACGTGTGCAAAGGTCACAGCCTGAAAGAGGCTCAGGTCTCTGTTTTCAAATAAAAAATGTAACACAAGCTGTTCAGAGCCTGGAGAGAAATATCAAGATCAACGCTTTGACCTAATGTCACCCTGCACGAGAGCAAGGATTCAACTGTGAAGGATAAAACACGGAAACTTAAACATGTCATCCTCTTCTCCGACAGTCTCCTGCTGTTCATTAACAGACGTGCAGCTCAGATGGACGCCTCGCCAACACTCCCAGGTCAATAACCTTTATTGAACACCTGAAGTTAATGATCTTTAACTCTCCACTGCGGGGCTGCTGGGAAAAAGCTTTTACCTTTCAGGTGAGGAGTTCACTCAGCTGCTCGTCCCTGAAGTCATGCGACCCGGCCGATCCGCTCTGACTCACAGTCTGCCTGCCTCAGGTGAGTGTGAGGTCATGCAGGTGTCATTATATTGGAAGACTTCCCAGCAGCTCAGAGCCCCGGGGCCCTTACCGACACACAGCAGGGGCCAAAACAACAAATCACATCAACACAGACTCCACTTCCTGTCTGTGATACACGACCTGAGACATCGATCACCTGCAGACGCCCAGAGTGACGAGGAAGAGGAAACAATTGACGTTTGACTCCATTACATCCTGTTGGACACCTGAATGTGTATCAAAGCGCGTTCAGCTCGATTATTATTCTTTTAACAAATGTTTGTATTGATGTAGGACACAGTAAACACATAAGGAAATACATTTTATTTATTAGTTTTTATTTATACACTCCACAGCCGAACATGTCCCGGGTCTTTATTACACCCACAACTCAGATCAGTACTCTGGATCAGACTGGACCGAGTCTAACAGCTTCGATTATCAAAAATAAATTCATAAAAAAACCACAAACAAACTCCTTCACATTCAGATCGGCACATTTCCAAAAACAGCACAGTTAGAATTTGTTTGTTATTGATCAGCAGATCTTCACAGGCTGTTTTCATTTAGTTCCATCCCACACTGATGACATCACAAAGATCAGTGTTCAGACGAGCCGTTTGACACGGGTGTGGGGGGGGGGGTCCACTAAAGATCCATCAGGACCAGGTTCAGGTCTGAATATTTACCTGTAAGAGCTGTGAGGAAAAGCTGAACGAATTTAAAGGTCTTCATCCTCCTTGCAGATCAATCATCTGTGTGTGTGTGTTTGTTTTACCGTATTCGTGGGGTCCAAAAACCAGGGTTTATTGTACTTGTGGGGACCGGATCCACTCAAGTTTAAAGGGCTGTGGTTTTAGGGTTCAGGTCAGAATCAGGGAGCATCAAGGACACAGAGACAGTAAGACAAACGGGTGTGAGTTTGCGTGTGTGTGTCCTCAGTACGGTGGTAGGACTGTGATCCCGTCCATGTCCAGCTCCACTGAGTGAACACTGAAGTCTCCCAGACCCTGAAACAAAACAAACAGCATGTTAGCACGTGGACGCCAGATCTCCCTGTGGGTTGCTAACATGTCTGACTGCTGCTTACCGGCGTGTTGTTGAGGACCTGCAGCACCGCCTCCTTCTGTTGGGGCTCCCGGGTCAGCAGGTAGAGGAAGCCCCCCCCTCCGGCCCCGGCCAGGCTCTGACCCAATACCAGCGGCCTCAGGGCCTCCATCATGGCCCGGACCGAGGCCGGTTCACATCCAGGGGCCATCAGCTTCTTCTGCTGCCAGGAGCGGTCCAAACACAGACCCAGTCTGCTCAGAGAACCTGGAGACGACACGTTATCTGTCCACCATCGTCCGTTCAAAGCTGCATGGTGGTGATCACGGTCTGGGGTCTATGCTAAGGGCATTCTGGGAAGTGTAGGACAGGACTAACACCTGCTGCACACTGGAGGGTTTTCACATCTTTACAGAATTTAAAACGTGGGCTCCTACAGGCACATGATCACATGATCAGGCAGATTTGTTCAGTGTGGTACTTTTACTGCAGTAAAGGGTCTGATTACTTCCTCTAGCTGTGTATCTGTGTGTAGCGTGCTGTGGTGGGCGGCCTCACCGTCTGAACAGGCTGCAGCACAGTCCTCTGAGTTGGACACCAGCTGCTGGGCGTTCTGGACCATCGAGGGCAGACGGCTGTACCAGCTCCGGACCACATCCTGCACACAGAACCACCAACACCGTCTTCATACTAACTGTCACAGTGATTCTGGAGTTAATAAGAGGACAGACTGGACATAAAGATGGACCACGTGTGAAGCAGAAACCTCATGTTTGATCACATGCTCTTTTTTCTGATCTATATAAGCCCCGCCTCCAACGCTGTACCCAGTCCTCTCTACATGTCCGGGCCGTGTCCAGACAATCTGGCTGTTTTCTGTACAGCTGAAAGCTGGTTTGGTTCTGATGCTCACGTGAGGAGTTTTATTCTGATCAACAGTAAAATAACAGACAGCTGTGAGACCAGGAACTGAAGGGGGGCGGACCTGCAGCAGGTTGCGAGCCAGCCGAGTTTTCCCGGTGTACACCAGCAGGAGGTGCCGCTCCAGAGAAACCAGGAAGTCCTCTGGAGGACTGAGGCGTTCCACCTCCACCAGCAGGGGCAGAGACGCTCTGGAACGACCCACCTTGACTCCGCCTACCAGACCTCCCACCTGATCCTGCCAGCCTCCACCTGGAGGAGGAGAAGAAGAAGAAGCAGCTCAGTCAGAGAGACCTGATCCCGTCCTCATGACAGCAGCTCTCAACCAGAGACCCACCTGTGGTGAGGATCTGTTCCAGGTAGAGGACGGCGTGGATAAGCGAGTCCGTGTTGTAGGTTCGACCGGTACACCTGTAGACCGCAGCCAACAGCGCCCCCGCCAGGATACTGCTGGTACCTACAGGACAAGACCTGATCATTCATTTAACTGCTGAGAATCCTGAACGTTAAGAAAACATTCTCAGGTTTGTTGTTGATGATGTTTTAAGTATCTCACCCAGTCCAGACCCGGTGGGCAGCAGCGACCAGCTGTGGAGCTCCACCCCTCCTCCCCACCGCTGCATCAGCTGATCCCCCAGAGGATGCTGGGAGGAGAGCGCCACCAGGCCGCTGCACACACACACTGCCTTCAGCAGGGCTCCTGTAACACACACACACACGCATGAACATCAACACGACGCCGAGCTTCAGTTTGTGGCGCTCTCCAGCTGATCTCCCACCAGGCGCGTGAGGCTGGCGGTGGTCCCTCAGATCATCCAGGCTGTCGCACACCGTCTCCGTGGAAACCGCGCTGTCCCGCCCTCCGATGTGGCTGACCAGCAGGAGGCGGGGCTCTCTGATGCGACGGGCCCTGGCACCCATGGGACGCTTCCCGTCGACCTTCACCGCGACGTTGGTCACAGAGCCGCCGTGCTCGAAGGCGATGGGCGGAGTGTCGCTCCACCCGCCTGAAGCACAAAGACGCCACACAGTTCAGAAGGTCAACTGGTAATCAGGTTCAAGGGGTCAAAGGTTAACGGGCAGCGCTCACCGGTGCCAAACGTACCTGCCAAGTCCAGTCTGGCCGGACACTCCACTTCCTGCCACTCGTCAAGGGGCGGGACCTCGCCCTGGCCAATGGAGATGAACTTTTGCGATGACATCACAGCTTGTCGTAGAAGCACCTGGCCGGCGCCCTCATAGTGCCGAGCCGCCCGAACCAGCAGGTCCGGCCTGTAGGGGGCGGTCACAGGAAACATCATCCACTAACAGAGACGGTGAAGAAGAACCTGGAGGGCGGCGCTCACCTGCTGAGCCAGCGCTCCCTCTGTGTGGCCAGGGCACAGACTCCGCCCCTCAGGTCACCCTCCTCTAACAGCAAGTAGGCGGAGCTCCAGGCCTCGTTAGCGGCCGGTCCGCTCCTCAGCCCACCCCTCCCCCCCGCCATGCACACCAACACGTCTGCAATGCAGGAGAGACAGCGAGCGGCCACGCCTAGCTCTGCGCCTGACTCCGCCCCCTGCTGCCCGCTTCCTGTTGCGACTGAAGAGAGAGAAGAAACAGGAAGTTACATAAAGACACACGACAGCAAGTTGATGGAGTCCTGAAAGCGAATCAGTGAGTCAGCGTCTGAACGCCTCGCCGAGAGGCTCGTTTGTCTTGTTGGCTGTGACTCACTGCCGTCCAGCGCCTCCAGCAGCGCCTCCTGCCGGCCCCCCAGCACGGCGGCCCTGAAGCTGGGCAGCAGGCAGACGTCTGAGCGCCTCCTCAGGGAGTCAGCCACTCTCCTCCTCCCTGCCAGGAACAGTAGCTCCTCCCTCCACTGCAGCTCCGCCTCCTGGTGGGTGAGGGACATCACCTCCTTCAGAGAGAGCCTCCACGCTTCCCTCCACCTCCGCAGGCAGCCGCCGCCCCCCAACAGCCAGCCGACACCTCCCTCCAGACCCACAGCTCCTCCTCTGGGGTGGAGGACCGGGAAGAGACGAGCCTCAAGGAGGGAGCGCTGTTGTCCTCGGACCCACAACTCCTCCGGCCTGAGATGGGAGGCGACGGAAGGAGGAGACAGGGGAGGAGAAGGGGGGAGGGGAGGAGGGAAGGGAAGGGAAAGGAGGATGAGAGAGGGGAAGAGAGGGGAGGAGAG